TTCAAAGCTTAGAAAGAAGTTTAAACCACATTAACATTAGAACTCAATGATCCAAAAAACTGTGGACTACTGAGGTCATGGTTAATAAAAAAAGGCTTCAATTTTATTTTCATATCCTGTTTTTGGTCTAATCACTTGACCTCATTTTTAAACATGGTCTGGATGTAATTCACCATTCCACACAAAGAGAGTGATTCTTTTTTCCAGTTTTACTCTCTTCAGTAACTTCAATTATATTAAACCTGATTTACATTTGAGAAATTGAATACATTTGCTGATATTTTCAAAGAAATCAGCTACTCAACCACAAAACACAGTCCAATTTAATGGTGCCATTTGGATCTTTTCTGGCTACGTGATATACAGCTTCTGTTGGCTATGTGACATTAAAACACATAGGAACAAGCCCACTGTTTGCTTTCTCCTTTCAATGGCAGATTACTCATTCCTCATCATCCAAGTCAATGTAGACTGGAATTGATGGAACGGCATTTCCCTCATTGGAAACAAGGTTGCCACTGGTCTGTATATAGACTAAAAGCATGCTGAACAAATTTTTATGTTATTTAGTGCTTATGTTTAAGGTCCCCTATTCATACGTAAGCATTTCAGCAAACAGGCTTTGAATTGTTCAAGCACTGATTCATGCTGAAGTTCCTTTTTAAGCTTCCTGACAGAAGGTGGCACAGAAATGAACAAGATAGGATACTTGTACCTTTAAAAAACCCTTGATTTCCTACATAATGAAGACACTGCAAGTCTTAAGGAGTTTTTTAGTTTGTGCTTATTTTTACTGAAACCCCTACTGAGAAACACAGTTCTTTGCAGAGGAAGGGAAGACCAAGAATCTGGGAGCTATGTGGCGGAAGATAGTCAACCTTAATCACAAACAGCTCAAAGTTGCTTTAGTGCTAGACTCTGAGGGGGGTGAGGCCCTGGCCCAGGTTGCCCAGAGCAGCTGTGGCTGCCCCCTCCCTGGAAGGGTCCAAGGCCAGGCTGGACGGGGCTTTGAGCACCCTGGGCTGGTGGAAGGTGTCCCTGCCCGTGGCAGGGGGGTGGGAACTAGGCGATCTTTAAGCTCCCTTCCAACCCAAACCATTCTGATTCCAGTGTACCTCCTGGAGCACTGTTCTAACGCACAAGAGAAATATTTTGTTTTGAAAGGAAACACTGTGTCTTGGGTTCATGAAAGGAACATCCATCATTTTGAATAAAACACCTGTGCTGAGTGAGAAACACAACATTGATCAGAATGCAGATAACTCAGGTTTCCACAAATAATTAGTCAGAAAATATTATCTATCAAAGTTATGCCTGAGCTCAAAGCAAGACTGCAGTATTAGTGGTAACAAGAACCCCAGATAGACAGACTAGTATTTAGGACTGGACAACCATAGGGTCACTTATTTATTCTATTATTAACACTGGTCACTCAAATGGTCACACACTTTCACCAGTTTCAAAATGGGAATCAAAAAAGGAGTGAGCTTCTAACACTTTAAATTTGGGTTCAATATAACTAAGCCTCACTGCTTAGACATTGTCATAACTATCCAAGTACTGCAGACCTTGCTGAGTTCTGGTCAGGATTATCTCAAGACAAAAGTTTTTCCTGAGGTATTCTCACAATTGCTTTCTGGGTTCCAAACAGCAGATTTACAAAAGATAAACAAGTTACATGAAAATTTCCTCTTATTGAAGTTCAAGTATTTGGACATAGGGTCATCTGTCACCATAAAAGCACAACTCATATAATGCCCATGATTACTACTGGTGCACTTCACATGTCTCACTTTCTGACATGGCATGTTTTTATCTCCTTACTTTCCATCACCTCTCCTCAGATTTATTTTAAACACCTACAGCTGATAGCTAGACACAAGGACACCTGACCCAATATCAACAGCATATTCAATAATTTTTAAAATTTTTTTTCTATGACATTGGTTAGAAAATGCCCATCTGCTGTTTTTCAGCTTTTGAGATTTAGTGATTTGCTATTGTATAGTAGGAACACAGAAGAACATGAAATAGATTTATAGCCTTTCTGCAAAACTAACACATTTGTATTATTCATCAGCCCCAGTTTGTTCCAATGAGGACACAGTCAATATGACTGCTACTAGATTAATTCTGTGATGCTATATAGCAAAGAATCCTTTAAATATCAATGGTTAGCAGAGGAAAAAGGATCATGTTAATTAAATTGAACAAAGAACATGAAACTATTTCCCTAGAGAAGTCAATAAAATAAATAGGATTCCAACACTGGTATGTTTGAAACCTTTAAGTGATTTCTAAAATGGAAGGCTATGAGCAATTTGGCCTGATCATTCCATTCTCTGGTCCTGCTATGTCCCCATAAGTTGGTACAACAGCCAGCAATGTCGGTTGTCTGTCCAAAAGGAGAATCAAAATAAAACTAAGAAAATGTCCTCTCTATCCCCGACTGCCCTCTTTTTTTTTCCTTTTTTTTTTTCTTTTTTTTCTTTTTTTTTTTTTTTTCAATTGCTTCTCTGGTTTAGGAAATCTGCTAGAAACAATTATTTTCGAAATAGACATTCTTGACTAGTTGTTTTACCCATGACTCAAAAACTGATTCAGAAAGATAGTATTGTGGTAAGACAGTGAGTGACATCAGAGTCTTCAAAATAGCGAAGACTTAGATTTGTAAGACTGGTTGGAATTGTACCTACCTCACTTTGTTCTGCAGCAACTGTAGAGAACAGTGTACGAGCAAAGACTGCAAAATGTTTAGGACCCGTCTCTCCATGGCTTCGTCTAAACCCAGACAGAGCTCCCTCCCCCTGGCTGGCCAGGCCAGGAATCTATGGCAGAAATGATCCTTCTGGCTCATGTGCCATTGGATTCTTTGCTTACATTTTTAATAGCGGTCTCAGAAAAAATTATACATAATAAAATATAGTCCACATTGTGAGAAATGTCTCAGTAAGGATCCCTTCAATAATGAAAGATCAACATATAAATTAGGGTGCCAGTTCTACAAAATGCTCTACTTCTGCCTTAATTTTGCCATGACTTGTATTTGTCCCTTTTAAAGAAGTAGACACCCGTGCTGGCTCACATTTGATTTCTGCATCTCAGTACCTCACAGCATAGCCTGCTGTGCTGGGAGGAGCTTCTTGGCATTTAAAACACTTCCATATTACTGTTTTAATTCAGATCACAAACACGTCTTTGAAGTGAATTTCCCAATCATCCCCACTTAACTCTGCTTTGGTTCATATGGATTGGTCTTAGCTTTGTCTGGAAGCTCTGTGCTCTAAGCCAGAGCCCACCTAGCATGCTATTTCAGACACTAAAAGGTGTTGAGTCATGGAACTGGACAGAAAGAGCCTGAAAGATAACCTCCCACTCTCAAAACCTGGGTTAGCAACACCGAATTTTACTAGTGTCCATACTAGTTGCTTATGTTGACATAGTCTTTGCCTCCATGTGTCTAAACCAGACGTTTTTGTTAGCAAAATATCTGTGAGAGGATTATTCTTAAAAAACAGTTAATGAATATGTCCAATTAAAAGTCATTTACCTGCCAAAACTCTGTTATGGTCTCTGATAAATATTGTATTCACATGCCATTAAAACGTAACAGCCAGACTAAAAACTTTCCCATGGCGAGTTACTTAAGAAAGAACCATATGCCTCTGACACAACTGCTTTTGTCAGCAAAGGAAGTAAGAGATTTGTAGACAAAGTTTTCCATCACTTTTGAAAATCAAATGTTTTCAATTGGATGGGAAAAGAAGAAAGATAGCTACTGAAAATCATGTTTGTGCAGGTAGTTAGAATAACCCTTGTTTTCAATAACTGAGAGATAAGAAGCTAAAATTACTATTGGACTATAAACTCTTACACAAATCTAATAGCATCCCTTCACAACAAGGTTATTCTCAAGTTCATTTCGGTTAGCACGGCTTTTTAAAGTGGACAAAATGATCCTCATGGAAACATGTTCACAGACAAACTGCCCAAGTTGTTCAGCACTGTTATTTGGCAGGGTCTCCAGCCAGATGGGTTTCCTAATGACTCCTGTAAGGTGCTTAAATCAGAATCTAGCGTAATACGACTGCCATGTTTAATTACTCTGTTAATACATCTTAATGGATATTGTTTGATATGTAAAAGTCAGAGTTTTTGATGAAATATACAAAGACAAAATAGTCTTTTTCATTTGAATGTCAGGATATCAAAGCCTTGATTATCTGCCCATGTACAACCTTTCCTAGGAGCAGTCATTCAGAACAATTGTTACAGCAGAGGCAGATATTTGTCCAAGTTACAAAACATTTCTTAGCCAAAGTACACTAACAGTGGACACAGAATTTTACTTGCATTGGCTGAATATATTTTTCAACTATTCAACAGTTTTCTGTAGGTTTGCCTGAATGCATTCAGCTGCTGAAAGGAAACTGGGATACAACCATGATCTTGAGCTGTTTTGTTTTTTTTTTTTTTTTTTTTTCCTCGCAGAAGGATAAGTCAAATGTGCTCATTAGCTTCATTTGATTTTGCAAAACTACTTTTTTTGGTGTAGATTTTAAGCTCAGTACTATACACAGAACAGCTCACATATGTGAACACTTCCATCAATTCCTCAGTTGCAGGCACAAGAAGATGGCAAGCTATTTGCTCCTACAACTAATGTAAAGTAGTAAGAGAAAACTAGATCCCTTTTGAAAACTTTCTTTAGGACGTATTTCGGGCAACGCAGTTTTTTTCCCCGAGGTCACTAATCAGTGCCTGTGAACAGACAAAACAGCTTTTGTTCCTTGACCTGCAAAGACACCTCCTCAATTATAGGACAAGATGCACCAAAGAAATTAAGTTTGATAATGCTGGTAGCCCCTCCTTGGTAACAAGGTCTCATGAAAACTCAGGGGGGTTGGACTGTCTCTGGACTGAGAACCTAGTGAGTGGGCTGAACAGAAACCTGAGCTGTTACTGACAATAGTGATCATAGATAATACCAGATAAAATAATTCAGGTTTAGATTTTTAACATTTATTAAAAAAGCAGGATGTATGTTCATTTCAAATTAAACAGATAAAAATGTTAAAGCATACAAACAAATCAATTGTGTACTAGCAGCATCCAATTGTTAGAATTTTCTAGAACTCCTCAGTACAGTCTTGGCAAGCTAAAAATATTACAACTTGCAACCAACTGATCTCACCATAGTGCAGATAAAACAAACTTTATAAAAACAACAATTTAAGGTTAAATAAGCTTAAATAAAGGTGTTAAATACAAGACACTTGATCAAAGCTTCTGTACAAAGATAAACAAATTTGGCATTGTACAATTGATTGGCTGGCTCACACCGTACATGATTTCAATAGTTAAGCAATATAACTGTTTAGCTGAACATCAACTATACAAAAGTAACTGAAGTTGGGAGTGGGCTAACCCCAGTGAGCCATTTACAAGGCATGTGTATTTTTAGAAAATCAGAACACTGTTTATATTCAGGCACCATTTGTTCCTGCAAATAAATAATCTCTAATGTATCTGCATCCAAACTAGTGTTAAACACATCAGTGCTAACATTTTATAAACACAGCTCTGTGACTATTCACTATACCTCCATTCTTATTGCTATGACAATGTGGACTGTGGAAATAAAACTACTGTACATACAAAAAAATAGAGCACCTTTTAAACATTAAAGTTTATGTCTGGTTATTCTTTTTATCTTACAATACTGAAGCCCAAGCTAATGTAAATTGCTTTAACATCTTCACCAGCGCACCTGAAATGCAGGAACTAAAACCCCCAATATTCTTCTTCAGGCAAGCCCCAGCCAGAGCATTTCTAAAAATGTCTAAAATGACACTAAGGATTTTTTACATTCATCTGCACACAAACAAATATCTGCTATTCTCTGCTTTCCTCATATGAATTTACAGACTGATTACCACAGTTCTCTCTCCTCTCCAAATGAATAAAGCTGGATAGAGAATGTAGCAGAAACACCTAAAATGGATTGTGAACACAGTGAAATTATTACCCCGCTAATTCAAAAATACAGCTGTTACATTGTTCAAATAAGTATGTTCCAGGGGCCCAGTCATTAGGATTTTTTGTCTATCGTATTGAAAAACCATTCTGTAAATTTCCTCAGCTGAGCAGCTGCTGTTTGAGACTCCTCCTGAAGTCTCATGTTATCTTGTCTCAGATGCTGTACCTCTGCTTGGAGAACTGCCTTGTCCTGTTTTTCCTGGTTAATAAAGATAAAAGTTGAGTAACGTGAGTAGTTGTGATAACAGCATTTATTTTTGTTGTTAATATTTCTGTGCAAGTCATACAGCTATGTTTTGTTGAGCTCCCTAATCCATTCAGACAACTACTAACTGTAAGTTAATTCCCCAAATGTGCTCCAACTTCCTCATTCATTCTGAGAAAATATTGCAAGCTAAAAAGAAAACTAGATATTTTAATACAAAAATTATAGGAGTTTACTCCATTTAACAAAAAAATTCAAACACTAGAAGGATAAGAAGCTTCCAGCTATTACAAATCATAAGTGAGAGCCCAATCCATAAGGAACTGATTCCAAGCATACGCTGAGGAACAAAAATACCCAATTTAAAGATTTCTCCCTTAGATGATTATTTTCTTACCAAAAGCAGTCTCATTTCTACCAGTCCTGCTGGCATTGCCTCCAGCTCAGAAATTAGACAGCAAATGAGACATGAAGCAAGTCATTGTTACATGATCTAGATACCACAAGGCAACAAGGACAACAAATCTAGAGTGTTAACTACATAGCAGTAGTGCCTGTGTCCCCACCCCATCCTTTGTCAAACCCAAGGTACCACGAGTGGAGATAACATGCCTCGTTCTCTCTGGGCTATGACTGTATGTAGGACAGCTATTCTGGAGTAAACACCCATGAGCTAGCCTTGTGGCAGCTTGTTCATATAACCATTTCCACAGGACCTCCTGCACTGAGGTGTTCTGATCAACCACTGGGCTCTACCTTTCATTAATTACACCGTCTAGTTTAACTGATGTACTTTTTTCAAGCCCTTGATGAACTCCGCATAAAAATCTAACTATTAAAACCGGAAAGTAATAATATCTCTCATGACCTCTTACCTTTCTCAGGTCAGTTTGTAGTTGGCGGAGAATGACTTCTAGCTGGTTTACTTTTCCAGTCAGAGTACTCGGAGCATGTTCCCTGTAAAGTAAACCATTACCTTCACTCTGGTCAGTTATAAACATTTTCTCCCCCAGCTTTTGTGGAGTAGCATTTTTAGTGATAGCAAAGGAGATAAATTAGTTTAGGCATAGTTAGGAAAACACAGACAAAAACAGCATCAGCAAAAGACTATTACTGGAACGTAAACCCACTGCTGCAGTATTTGAAATATGACACTGCCTCTCATGCAAACCAGGTAGAAAATAACCTGATTTTAAGAAGGAATGTTTTAGGAATTATTTGCACATACCCTCACCATGCAAGTCAAACTTGCTGCTAAATAGTGTGCCGAGCACATTTGTTAACAAGCTCCCTTCTGATAAGGACTGTACTAATCCTGAAGCAAGCTGCAGCAGCAATTACTGTAAACCGAAAACACCAAGAGTTCTTTGGTCTGCAATTGTGTCATTTCCAGTAAAGGATAAACCTATGGCTTTATGGAAGCAAATATTTTGTTTAAAGATCAAAACATGAAATATTGCCACAGGTTAAACAAATGCATGACTGAAGGAAAATACTGATAATAGCTTCCGTTTCCTGTATGACAATGAGCACTGTGTGGGAGACAGTTTCATTTACGTTATAGGGGAAATCAGCCATAATGTGAATCATTTTGTCTATAAGAGAGAAACTTTATATACAAAGCTGAATCAACTGCTTCATGCAAGTGCACAAATCTGACAGATCTGTCGATGCTAAAAGCAGAACATCTTTAACAGTCTTTTGCAATCCTTACTGATCGCTAGGCTGGAGAAAGATGTGGATTTAGAAGTCATTACAATAAATGCGCTTTACCAGGTAAGTTAATTTGTGTAAAATTGGTTAAAATTAAAATGTGATAGTCTAACAAGCAAGAACTTTTCCCTCCATTTCCTGTTCTTCCATTCCTGAAGATGAAGAGCAAAACTAATCAAAGATGTGCTTTTCTTTTAAAGTGTGCTAGTGGACAGATTTTACTGCTGAATATGTGTTTTTAAGAAGCATACTCCTTACAGCAGGGAAGACGAGGGTGGGGGGGAGGAAAGAAAAAAATCTCTCCCAGAGCACTGGGAAGAATTTGAAGAATTGGGCAGTTTGGCATAAAAGTTTCCTGCAGTCCTCAGTTACAGGTTATTTGATTAATTTACCTCTGTATAAATGAAAACTTATGGATTTGCAAGTAGCAAATACTTGCAAAAGACAGGTAGCAACACCTGTTCCAAGGTTGGAGACATTTGCTGCAGATAAGGTTACTGCATACTAGAGTTGAAATTCTGTTATGGGTTCTATTCAAATGAAAATAGAAATAAGCGTAACACAAATTATTATTATATAGGAGGAATACAGTGAAAAATTTTGTTCGCTGAAACTCTGCACCTAACTGTACTCTACATCAGAGGCCTATTCTACAGAGAGTGCTTTATCTGACTATACTACAAATTTTCTAGATAGAACTGCTCAGAGGTTGATTCCAAGAAACAACATTTTTCTAAATTAAATACATGATCAGTCAAGGTAACAGGTCTGCTATCAAACTGCAGTGAAACATGCATACAAGCAATTTGACATGCAACATTAAAAGAAAATCTTTTCTTACAATATTTTTGTAAGAAATGCACTTTAATTCTGACATACCCAGTAGCCTCAAGGAAATCTTTTCCATCTGTGGGACTCTCATCCAAAGGTAACTCTTGTGTTCCTTCCAAGCCCTGAGCTTGCTGCATATCATTCAAGGTGCAAAAAGATGCTACTCTCTGATCTGTAAAAAAGTAATGTAAGGATACGTTTAAAGCTGGACATATACACAAAATAAAAGGCTATATTACAGCCATTATCCTGCTTCAGTTAGAGAAATGGATGTAGGTTTCTACATCACAGCTTTGAAGATAATCAGCAGATGTAAAGTATATTCCAGTTAGTTGGCTTCCCCACATCTGCATCCAAAGGCAACCCCAAAGCAATTTTTTTGCATCTGTCAGCAGAGTAAGACAGATTTGTTTGGACCAGTTAATGTTGATATGAACAGTAAATCGGTCTTGATGAAATCTGCAGAAAACCATTGGAGAATTCAGGGCCACAACCAATGATAATAATAATTCAGCAAAAAGGTGTGCATTTTCCATGGACTTTAAGCCATCAGATTCCTCAGAAATCTGCACTGTTCATTTCGTACTGTTTTACTGTCTCAAGCATTTGCAGAGCCTAATGGTAATCTGCATACTTTAAAAACAATAAATTCCCACTGTTTTTATCAATTGAGGTTTTGTTATATATAGTACTAAGGCACGCTTTATCTACATTGGATTCCACTAGAACATAATCTAATGAGCACAGATGTAATTACCTATGGATATACAGTGTGGTTGCCAAAATACATCAGTCACCACATAATAGAAGTATGCCATGCAGATCATCATTGCACAGAACAGGAGTAAATGATGCATTCATTAAGATTTAATTTGTCTTCTTAAAAAAAAAATAATCCATATTCTGTAGAGATTGATTTAGCTTAACTTATTTCTGTCAAACAAAATCCATGTCTGTACGCTTGTATAAAATCTGGCGACAACATGCCTGCCTTGCCCTTTCTCCCCTTGCTCTACCACCCCACAGGCCCAAAGCTTGCATTATCATGCAAACGTGCAAACATAGGAAATATTAAAGAAAGTTTACAAAAGGCATAAGTCATCAATCCCAGACCATCACCTAGAAACGGCGTGTGATGACAGAACGGCCCAAATTCTTCATCTGAGTCAAAACCTGGAATAAGATTTAGAATGTTCCTATAAACAAGACAGTCCATCTCCACTGGAGCAGCTGTGGCCCTCACGTACAGCGCACACAGTGCACGAGTGAAGCTCATGCTGGCTCTTACTCTCAGCCTTGCAACGTCATTTTTACATAACACCAACATTACAGTAACGCATGAGGCGTCACGCCCTGTGTCTCTAATCGTAATGCTCAGTATTGCAACACAGCATGACAACTTGGCATGATACATGAAAAGACAACCCTCCAAACTCTTAAGCACTCAAACAGTGAATACAGGCCAGGTATTTTTAACTAGGAAGGAAATTTTGGTTTACAAGTTCTACCAAACAAAAATAGGAAATCACTAACAAGCTCTTTAAATGGATTTTTAAAATGAATAGTTTTAAGGAATAGCAGACTGACCATTCTATAATATAATGAATAAAAGTTGCACGTCATTTTTTCCTCAATTTTAAAGACCACAGCTCATTTCTCATATTTTTATCCTTATTTCTGACTAGTGATGGATCTCAGCCAATATGAACATGACTTTTTCACATGTGCTGACAATAACGTAAGAATATAATTTTAAACACATAATCAATGACATCATTTATGGACTTGAAACTTATAAAGTAGAATAGATTTAATTAGTACAGATAAATCGAAACTAGTTACCCAGATCAAATGCAGTATGTAGGCCAGACACAAGACTTTGTACACAATCAGTTTGAAGACCATATCTAATTATTGGTTTAATTATTGGTTTCATCTTTATACTGTTCACATTTTCATTACCACGTGATAGAAGAAAACAAAGCCAGAAGCAAATGTTATAGTATTGCTATTTTTTCTATGGCCAATATTACTTGACATGTGACATTGTGTCTCAGAGGCCATTCTACTGTAATATAAAAAAAATCTGCATTTTTCTCCCTCTGTAGACTAAACTTAATTAAAGAGAATGGCCACTTGTCTGTTTTACTTTGTCAGTTAAAAAAAACCCAAACATTTTGCCAGTTTGATCTCTCCAGGAGGATTTGAAAGCACCTTTTTCCTGATGAATAAAAGCAGGTGCAAAAACAGGTACATGCAGCTGTTAATGAAATCACATGATCCCATTTTAAAACACAGTATTTTAAAATATTTTCATATATTATTTCAACACGTAACAAAAACATAAGAACATGGATGCTTGCAATGAAGATTAGCTCTTTCTTCCTGTGTAACCCCTAATGAATTTCAGCTCCACATAATTTAAAAAGAATATTAACATTTAGAGCAGGAAATAAATTGTTAAACCTCTTCTATTTTGATAGAATAACTTAAACATATTTTTCCAATATTCATATCTTTATAAAAAATGAAATCATATTCTCACATTCATCAGGTGAGGAATACAGTCACTACATGGCCATTAATAACCAGAAGTCTCCAGTCATATAACATACTATGTAAATTCCTGTGTTGGTCTTGGAAGAGCAGTTCCTTAATTTTCAAAAGCCACGTTAGTGTCAAAAATAATTCTCTGAATAAGTTAGTAACACCATAAATCTCTGTAATAACTAGTACACCAACAAGATCCTGGACTAGCAAAATATTTTGCCTTTGGATACTTTTCAAGTACTTTTAAAGACACATTTTTATTTTCAGTAGCTGTATCAAATCTCCCTGACCTCCCTATAAGTATTCATGCTTAGCAATAGTCTCCCCAATTTACGATTTAAATCAGAACTGTTTTTAAACCTGAATTGTGGTGAAGGTTGAACTTGTGCTTCAAAGAGCAAAATCTTCCTACTGATTTTTCTTTTATTTGTTCTTAACAGAATTATCTTGACTCTATATTCACAAAAATGAAATCAAAGTTACCTTCACCGACAGTTAATTTTTTGAAAGAAAAATCAAGTGTATTTCTGACTATGATGCTGTAGACATAAGTTCTGTTTCCTCCAAACTACAGGGGCACCTCCTATTCAAGTGATATGTGCCTACTGAACAGAAGAAAATACATGTAAATCTTAGAGCTCTTTTTTTTATCTGGGACATCCTTGTCAAAGCCCACATAGTACCCACGCATAGAAAACTATTTGCAAAAATATATTGGTGTTTATATCAAAAGTTTAAGCAACAGTTAACTTGGCAAGACCAAAAATGAGACAAAATTAATGTTCACTTTGAAGTAAGAGAATTGTACAGTTGTAACCAGTATGAATTTGAATCTAGATTTTCATTGTTCTAGGCCATTAACAGAGGCCAGAAAAAAATCCAGACAATTTTGATGCACTGGAGAGCAGAAAAGGTTGAAATGAGCATAGTGCATGAAGCCACTGTCTCATCATTAAGGCCAGGTCTACTCACAAACATATACTGACATATGCACTGAAGCAAAGAGAGATACACATGCATGCACTAGAAAGGATCAAATGTTAACTAAATATTTTCATTTTTTTTCTTTTTCTAGCAGTTTAACATACTAATTTGGTTAAAATAATTATCTCTAATGCTGAATGCTTCACTTCTTTCTCATTATGTGTAGCATTACTTGCATCAAACTATAAAGATTTTAAATGGAAGTATTAAAAGAATATTAATTATAGTAGCACAGATGTTTCTGCAAAGATAAATTGGCATTAGGAAACACTTTATTCTGATTGGCACTAGAATACCTTCATAAAAATAACCTGGAAAAAAAAATTAGAAGTTTAAACCACCTATTTTAATGAACTAAATCAGAGACATTAGAGGGACTTTCTTAGGCTGTTAATTCCCACAGTATGATTTGCCAAACACTAAACAGCTTTTTTTAAGCATAATAAACTCAGTTTAAAGTAGCACAAATAGTACAAAGATCTATTCATAAAAATAATCAATGTTTATGTTTGTGTCAATTCTCTTCTATAATGACAGTAACCGCTACGGGCATCTATAAAGACTTCTCCTTTTTTTCCCCCAGAACATCAGAAAGTTCCAAAATTAGCCATCAGCAACATTATACACATATTGAAAGCCAGTCCTTCCTCCCTAGCTTGGAAATCTATTGGAATGATAATACAAGGAGAATTAAAAAAATACATTCTCTCCTCTTCCCTTATTCTTTTATAAGATTTCTTTGTTCTCCTTTTTCTAATTCAGCTTTCCAATTTACTTTATAAATCCCTATCTTTATTCAGCTCAACACGCTTTGTATCTTTTGCTTCTTTAACTTCTCCTTTTTCACCCCAACTGCCCTCCCTAAAGCTCCACCTCTTTTGCTGTACAGTCACATCCAGTTTTATCTATTTTTTATTGTTTGCTTCGGGGATGGATACAAAAATAACACAACAGGGTACTTCTGGCATGTCAGCTGCTCCCTGGTTACTGTCTCTCTGCAGTCCTCAACAAAATAAGGGAACTGGAAGTAGCCTGTCCATGTATGAAAGAAATGGAAGGACACCCCTTGCTACTGAGCGCATGCATGCTAAAAATGATCCCTGGGTAAGTATCAGAGTCAAATCTATGCCCTGCAGAGGAAGGCAGTGCAATGACTTAAATAACGCTGCGCTGTGGTCCAGCTTGTGGACACTGACCCTCAACAGACGCAGTTCAAGCAAAACCCCTTACTGATGCAGCTTCTGGAGCCTGTGGAGTTAACACCTGCACAGCTCTCCATTGCACTGTGTAGACCTGTCTTAGGAGAAACAGAGAATTTTCAGGAAAACTCTGAAGTAAATATTCAGCTTCCCACAAAGGTTCTTGACAAGCAAAAGCAATGAAAATTAAATCCTCACAAAGCAAAAAGCATTATCAGCACACTTTCAGTAATAACTTCCTCCACCCTCACCGACCACAGCTCAAAAACTGCTGTTCTACATCGGACCAAAGCTTCAGCTGGATAAAGGCTAATATTAATAAACAACCTAGTCAACTGTTCATTTGGGGGGATGGTGGGAAAGCTAAAAATTAGATCGCTGTTCTTGTTACACACATGAGTAAACTCTGAGTACACATGATAGTAGCAAAAATCTTGCTACTGTATTTAATTCTTAATCCAGTTAATGCCAACATTATAAGCACCTAAAAAGGCTATATTTAACATTATTTGAGATACAACTGCATTTGAAGGCAGACAGATGAAGGATTGTGAGGATCACATTATGGATGTTGAACTGATCAAAATGCGTAGGTTGTCAACATACAATCTAGAGATATCACAGGGGAAAAACCCTGACCTTGGAATCAGATTGGTAATTCTAATAAACTGGTATTAAGAAAAGACCTTGTATAAAGAAAAAAACTAAAATTAAGTCTTGTATCCAGGCTCTAGAACAGAACACAACTTTGAAATAACAGGATGGCAAAGTCAAACTAGAGAACAACTCTAGCATTAATTTCTTAAATCAGTATTAAACAAGTGTTATCCATTTTGTGATCTTTTTCATTGAAGGTTTGGCAGGGTGGGGGTGGTGTTGGTGGTGTTTGTTTTTTTTTTATGAGATAGCCTTATATAAAATGTGATCATATTTCCATCCAGTTTAAAAAAAAGATCAAATCAGTTTTATATTCAGGACAAATTTTAGAACCATCGACTCTCTTTTTCACACCAATATAATGCAGAACAGTAGTTCCAAGCTATTTTTAAATAGCAAGTTGAAGCAACAGCTAAGTCCACAACATTAAAATACACAAGGAAACTGCATCTGCTAATTCATATCACACAAATTCCCTCTCAGTGATTTTTTTAATGACATGCCTATCAATTATTCTTTTTAAAATGACTTTCAAATTGCAAGACATAGGATAGAGAAAGCTGAACAAGGGCTTAACAATTCAATTCCTTGTAAAAATTTCAAATTGCAGAATTTAGTCAAAACATTTTATAAATAATCTAACATATACACAGATGTTTCTATTGCAGAGTCCTAAAAAAAAAGAATTATATTCCTTCATACAAAACTGAATTATTATTTACTACCTAAATTTTGACAATAGTTCAAAAAAACCCCAGTAAACAGTTTCTCTCTTGTATCTCAGGCCATCAGGTCTTCAGCATTATCTATAGATATTCTCCTCCCTAGGGTAGGGCACTGGAGATAGCTATGTTGCTCTACCTGTGTCTCTCAAATCCAAATGGTAGTTACACTGACATAACACTTACTAAAGCAAAATTATTGTCATCATGATATTAAGTAGTAAAAATAAGGAAAATCTATTAAAGTTTTCAAAGAAAGCTAAAAATACGGGAGCATAACTGGTACAGAATGACCTTTTAATCAGCTGAACTCAAAATTTTTATTAGTACTTAACAATATTCCTCAAGTACAAAGTTACAGAGCTAGTTATTTACTGATCCAAATCTATTTTCAGTTATTTAAGATGTCAGTAAGAAATAGCAATCAAACAGAAATGCATGGGAACAGCTGTCAGATTCTCAGGTCACGGTACCTCCTGCCAGCTACAACAGACATGTTTGAATAGTACTGAACAGAAATGAATGCATCTACAGTTAATCAGGTTAAGAAACAATACAGTACTTTAGATTTCTAATCATCACTGCTGGTTTGGGTTTTTAAAAATGCTATTTAAATCAGTACATTAAGTAGCTCCAAAGAGCTTTTGATCAAGTTGAAATTTAATCACTTCATACTTGGGGAAGGAATCGGGTACCAGAAAAATGATTCCCATGGTTGCTTTTAGTTAAAAAAACAGAAGACTTTCTCATCACTAACTTCACAACTGGTTCTCCTCATAAAGTTAAGACCTGTATCTTACATAATAATGACTGTGGTATTGTTATCTTTATTTACAGATACCTCTGACTTCCGACATATTCACTAATGAGAATAACACCAGTTAAGAAATGTCAGAAATTTTAGGACAGCACAGTGACCTAACCAAAACACCCCCCAGAAACAACACAACACCAACATTCAACTGTATACATTCATGTATACACTCAAAACAACATCCGCCTTTCTGTGTTTACATATTATATGTCGGCTTTTAATTTAATAATGCAAACCTGGTCTATAGCCTGCACCTCAAGTTCTGCTACTGGAAGATATAGCGTACATCTTGTTTTTCAAGGGCTTATTATGAAAACTGCAACATCATTTGGACTACACATACAAGTCTATAAACACAACACAATAAACTCAGGGAAGTGTTACTTCCAGTTTAATTTTAAACAGCTAACTTAAATGCTTTGAATGTCTCCTTCAAAGCACCTGCTTTTTCCAATTGACTACAGAAGGAACTTAGGCCCCTAGGTGGATGAATTGTATCTAAGACAGATACTGAAAGTATCATGAATACCCCAAATTTTCAGTGACAATCTTCTGCACTGAGAAGTGATATGGCCAAAAGAACTAAAGGGCTATAGAGGCAAACACTGGATTTTTGTAACTCAAAATGTGGCTATAAAATATATATTAAGAAAAAATAATAATTTGTGTACTGAACATTGATCTTTATTCAAATTTTCCTGTTACCTTCAAACGCTCGTGCAGCATCTACCAGGTGGGACCAGTCTAGCCCTGTGGCAGTGTCTGGCAGGGGCATCAGGCCAGGATCATTGAATTTGGCTTTATCAGATAAGGACCCATCTGAGAACCAGAATTCATCTAAACAATAAACACAATAATTAGTCCTCCTACAGCAATGGTGCACAATTAATTTTGAAGCTGTTATAATGAACTGTAAAAAAATGTATAAGCAAGGAGTGCTTATCTTCATTTCTCTTGTTTCTGTCTTTTCCTGTTCAATACTCAGTATGGGTGGAACAATTTTTAAACTTTGGCAGAATAAGATGGGAAGGGTTTTTAAAGGTTTTTTTGTGCCACTTTGCACATGGTGTGTTCTTTGCATTTTCATGTGAATGCTGTGTGAGTAGGCAGCATCCATTCTTAAAGCATACCATATTAAACCTGAGCACTGAGCAGAAAAGTTGCAAGCAGAAAAGTTACTAGATACACAGAGTTATATTTTTAAGGCTGTGAAACAACATGCGAGATATTGACATGCAGAGTTTTATTCTGAAACATAAATATTTTAATTCCAAAGCAATTTAAAAAATATCACCTGCTTTTCTTTTAATGAATTTACAAATTCTAGTCTATATCCAAAGCTCACTTTCACATTGAAAATACTACCCTACTAGTTTAGTATTTGTAGCTGTATATCTGAGGATGTAAGACTTTGTGTGTCAATCTCTAAGCTCCAGAGTGAGCTGTAATACATAGGATACTGTAGATAGATTGTACATTAATTGAAATGTATACGCTATAAAGTTTGTTAAAATACAGCTTTCAATTATGTAGTCTTTTAGAAAGGTGCTACAAACATACATCTTATAGGAGATGTTAATTTTCATAATTATCTTAAATATTTTTATATTTTCCTCATCTATCCATAGCAATCTTCACTCTGATCAATGTAAATACATTAAAATGAATACTGCTGAACAGGCAACACAGAGGTTCTTAAAACCGAATATAAACCAAATACATTATTTACAATCGCATTTCATCTTAACCATAAAGCTAGTGATACAATATTGTACTTTTATTACATGGTATAGTCAAGAAAAAAGAAATTTTGCTTCAGATGTATCTACTTCTATTAAATAAAAAGGTCAAAACAGTAATTTTCCTCAAATATTTCAGAAGGAAATTTCCATCTAGTTATTCCAGTGATTCCAACTATAATATTTATGAGGAATATTTTATCAGGAAAACACCAAACACAAAAATAAATGAAGGAAAAAATGCACACATACAAGTGGGAAGATAAATTACAGTTTAAGAAAATGGCATGTTGCCATTGTCCTGATACCAATGAAAAAGAATACCAAAGTCCATATGAATTAAAAATTTCTAACATAAAAATCCAAAAGCGGTAGCCTGTTACAGAGTATTCTACTGCACGAGGCAACAATTAGAGCATATCATATTCTTTGAAGAAAGTTAGTTTAAAGAAAAATAAAAATCAAGAACAGGAAAATGAAGGTTTGTAATCCTCTGTCAAAAATTAGGAGTCCCACAAAGCAAAAACAGTGCAGAAGAGGTAGAAATCCTTTTTACTGTGGAATTTATCTTGTTCTACAACTTAGATGCAAGATGCAGTATTATTACCACTGGAAGAGGTTTGACAAACCTCTGGAGAAGTATCTTTCTCAATACCCACTCTTAGTATGCAAAAGTAGTTGTCATATGAAATGGAAAATGTAATATACAAATATATTCTCCCCATACATCTGTACTAAGATTTTATGTTCAGTTCCTTACAAACATACATAAAATCCTACATCTGAGGTTACCTCGGGTTGCAAATACACTGGCAACTCATCAGAGCAGTCTCTGAACTTTTGTGTATGACCCGGGAATTATAAGAATCATATTTATGCAGGTACAAATGCTTTATACATCCCTGTTGTGGCAAATAGGCAGAATGCCTTATTTGAAAGGCTGGCTAGCCAGCTTTTGGTTCTAGACCAGTAGGCAGGCCCTAAGGGACAGCCCTTGCTTTTGTGTGATCAGCCTACAGAGGTGATTGTGAAGCCTGTCAGGAAGATGTCTGTTCCCAGTGTGACTCTGCTGGCTTTCCAAATTAAAGTGTAGGAGTGATACATTCACCAGTAGTCATCCTTCATTATGCATTGTCTTTGTGGGAACCTCAGTTCACCTTAGGGTGGATCCTATTCGGTCCTGCATAAGACCTGACAGAGCAACTCAACGGCAGAAAGCCTGACAGTGTAGAGATTTGAATACTGATAGCTCTGAAAACGCAAGTGCTCATGCTGATGGCTGAAATTATAAGTGGAATAACTGAACAGGCATGAGTATGCCAGCACAGAATAATTCATTTTCAAGATATAAATTATGTGTGCAATGAAGGGGGAAGGGGGCGGAGGGGGGAAGAAGGGGGGAAAAAAAAAAAAAAAAGCTCTAATGATATGGGCCTCTTTGTGCTTTTGAATTTCAGAGAATATTGTTTGTATTTCAGGAGTGATCTGGGTGAGATTAATTATTTCTGGCCTCCTGTATTTGCATTTCCTCCCTGCTCCTCTTACTTTGCTGTTAACTCCACTTTCCCTCTGTATGACTGCTGTGTTAGCAGCTGCAGGCTGCCTGCTGTATTCCTTTTTGATTTGTGCAAAGGTGGCAAGTTATGCCTGAGCATGCTCACCTCTGCGAGTCCAGGAGGATATGCCTATCTCATAGGCCACTATCTTCATTGCCCACAAGATTGGTTTTGAAGCCACTCAGGCTTACCCCCTTATTTTCTTTGAGGAAACAATGTAGGTGTTCTCTTTCAGTTTTAAAGATTATCTTATTTGCTGTACTCCTTTTGGCACAAAATCATTGACCTTGTGGTTTCTGGTCCTTTCAGTTATTTCACTCTCTTCTCACACTTAGGAATTTTCTTTATTTTTATTATTGATACATAAAAGTATAAAGCATTTTGAAAAGTCCTTATTTTCACCAAAATTATACAGTCAGTTCAGTTTCCATCATAGCTCCTCAAATTGACTGTCATCAGTCCCACATACCTCTGTATTCAAAGAGAAACTAATTATACAGAAGTAAGAAAGATTCACCTGCCTTAACCTTTTCTACTTCCAAGACAAGTATCCTGCTTCAGTTGGAACTGCTACTTTTATGTAGAGACTGTAGATCATGAAAAATATCTGCTAAGTACTCCTCACTTACAGTGCTCAAACTAGACATGTCATTTAACAAGTAGATTACTAAAAAAGATGTTGTAGCTGAAGGAATACATCAAGTCACATGCAGGCATAAATCCCACTGTCTGCTTCCTTCTTCTTTCCTGCAATCACCAATTCTATCTCTACGGTCCTCTTAAATAACAGCTTCTGCCTGCTGAACCCTTCCTTTCTTCAGTATTACCTAGGGTTGCCCAAAGTCTCCCTTCAAAGATGCCAGCCTGCTAGTACACTATCTCATGGACATAAACTCACATAAGTGAGACGTAACAGACGTGTTCCCAATAACTACTTTTTCCTTCCCTTTTGTTATTGAAAACAGTCTCATAGTATTCTGGATTATTCACTGTGAGAGAGTCTGTAACAGACAATATATGTACTCCTTCAGTTGCATGAATTATTTAATCAACGGCCTTTATTTGCTTACTGAAAAACTGATTTCCAAATTGTTCACGATGTACATCATCAATACACAGCGATGCTCTTCCATTTTAATACTGCTTATCAGTGAGGTTAGTTTTGGATTAAAGCTAACACTGGTAGTAAACCAGTTTTAAAATAGACTTTAATCTAATAACATTGTTGCAGATATATCAGCTGCTTTTCTGACAGCCTTTTCCCTGTTGCATGTATAATCTGAGAACTTTCAGAATTTGTTAAGTGTGTCATTGCAAAATACTCCTTTCCTTATGACCCCTTTCACTGCAAGTGTCCTGCACCTTGTTCCTTCCCTCACAGCACAGGAATCTCATGCCAATGTATTACTTTGAGCAGCTTTCCTTTCCCTATCTTTTTGTGTTTCATAATAGGAATGGACCATGGTGCCTGCGATGTCAGTCAGACTGCCTCTGTGTGTCATGCTGGGTTTCTGACTTGTGCTAGTACACTAGCTCTGTATCAGCAGTTCTCATTGTTTTCATTCTTTCCCTGCTGGTTCAGCTGTCATGAATTTGCAAGACAGAGATAGATTTGTACCTGCAACCATGTATGGCATGCTAGAGTCACTCAACGTGAACAGCACTGTTTCAGGGAATCTTTAATGTCCTTAAGGTAAAATTCCAGAGTTCTCAGCTACACGAGTTCTGCTTTCCGGTTTAAGTTAAAAAAAAGATAAAATGAAATAACTCTTTCTGCATTTGTGTACAATCAACAGCACTCAACTATCAAAGCTTGCATTTCAGGCTTTACTGAAAGCAACTCTTCTTTCACTTCACTCCCCCAGTGATAAAATAACAAAAAAAATCTTATAGCTTCATTTTCTCATCTCCTTCCCACAGTCAACATCACACATAGTTGAAGTTTCTGTTTCCGTATTTGCATGGCCATTCAGTTTGATAATTCTGATTTCACAGTAAACTGAAACCCTTCAGATCACCTATTAAGCTTTTGTTTTGGTGACTGCCTTGCTTACCTATTAATCACACTCTTTTCCTTGCTAAAGGGATCTCACGAGACTTGGTGTTGCGACAATATTTCATGTAATAGCATGCAAGAACATATCTTTCTAAAACGAAATCCAGCCAAACCCACACTATTTCCACTGATTTCTATAAACATTAAATATCAGTAAAATTAAAATGTTTTAAGATCACAAACATATGTATTTTACACAGACATTACTGTGACAGCTAAGAATCCTAGTATCTAAAACTACAACCTCGAGCTAAAATTATACATGAAAAAGAAACCGCTGCTATGGAATGTAAATACCTGCTATGCAGCAATTACGAAAAACTTCCTAGCAAGAGCCAAAGTTAGTTTCTTACATGGAGATACTGACTAATCTTATTTTGAAAACAAAGGTCAGCAAGACATGATGTGTTTGTTTTCAGTGTAATTACAGGTAAACAATTAAATCTTCCTTGAAACAGACATCATAAAAGATCCTATACCACTGGCATTGAAAGGTGCTTTTATAATACAAAACCAGAAGCAGAAAATAAGAGGTTCTATATGAAAATAGCATGAACTGCCATGGATATCAACAATTAGCTTAATTTTGACTAACAGGATACTGGTTTCATGTTTTCCCATGTGAAGCTACTTTCTGTATCTAAGAAGCATCAAGAATGGAGAATAAGGTGTTTAAGACAGAACTAATACACAAAACACTAAAATTTCATTGCTTGGAGGAGCAGTATACAGCTTGAATGTACACTGCCTTGTGTTACTCTTCAGAATAAAAGCACGCTGAGGGTTTCAATCCATTGCATATTTACCTTTACAAGAAATTACTCTAAAAACACAGGCCTATCATAGTAAAGGGCAAAAATATAATCAGGATGCCTGATTATATACATAGCTCCTTCACAGACTATGAAATCTACTGAATTAGTCTCAAATAAAACAAAATGGGTCTTCATTCTCTATCAGTAAAAGCAAAGGAACTTTTTATAGTAAATTTATGGTAAAGAGTTTCACTCCGATAGAATAATATTTTTCAAATAACAAAATGTACACCAAGCATGCATTCCCATCTGAAGCAGGAATTTAGCACTTGTTTGCGATACCAGTGTAAAATTAACCAGTGGTTAGTGACCCAAACTCACTTTCATAGCTGAGGCTACTATAACTGGAAAAGGATTTTGTATATAAGGCTTACTTAAGAAAGTTATCAAAGGACTGCTAGTTCCTGAAGACATGATGAATGACAGAGCCCTTTTTATTACTCTTTCCTTTAAGTCATCTGTCTACATTCTCTCTGGGCACGCGCCGACAAAAGTCCTTAATGCTTTCAGGAAATCTACCCACAGAGTCCACAATTGCTTTATGATTTTTTTAAATTGCATTCAGCTGTGATGCAATATTAAAGTAGCTAACTAAAAGTGCCTTTTTTTTTTTTTTTCCCCTAGATTGGGTGTCCCCTATAGGTCAGCCTAAAATAATTGAGAAGTAAAGAGATTTAGCATTTTTTAAAAAACTATTCACTCTTATTGAATATATAAATATGGATATGTAGCCTAAAGGTATGTATCTGGCTGTGAAGATTTGGGCTGTGGTATATAAGCATATATATTTTTCATAATTTCCTTTTTCCCCCTCCCCTCCCAAAATTACTACAAACTTTATAGTTCAACACTCCATATTGGTATTATTGCAAGATAAGCATATAATAAAGATCATGCTCATGAAGACCTCACAAGTAAAGAGACACTTTCATAAAATAGTTTAACACCTCAGACTACTCTTTTTCTGCCATTAAAAAGGAAGTGTTATTTTCAAAGGGTTTAATAACATGTTAAAAAAGTATCAACAAACTCAGTTTTGAAATTGGAGATGGCAACAACTATTGTGCACTCACTTCCTTTTAAGATGTTATGAAAAGGATCATCTAAACAGAAGCTGTCCTGTTTAGCTATTCCTTTAAATATATTTGTGAATATTTCATCAATTTGAATGCACACAAAAAATAAACAAAAATATTAAAATACAACAGGCCAGCTTGGCTTAATTAAGTCACTACTGGAAAATATAAATGGTAACAAGAATCTTCTTTGGAGAAATGTTTGTTGCTTATCACTGGTCTCATGAAAAAATTCTGTGGGAAGTAAAAGCAAATTCTATCTCCAAACATGATAAATCTGAATTGATCACTAAGGTAAACAAACATGCACTGCTGACCAAATACACTTTTACTAAGATATCTAGAACACTGATTTGTCATTTCATAACTTTACCTTAAATGTAAAATCTCATTTAATATTTGGTGATTTGTTTGAATTTATTACAAATATTCCAAACTCAGCAATGACAGAAACAACCACTTACTTCTCAGATTTCCCATTCCAGGAGTCAGGTTCATTCTGGGAGGCAATGTGCTGTGATATGGCGGAGTAGTGCTGAATAAGATATCATTTGGCAAGGCTTGGTCTAGCATTGAACTTCGAGAGCTAGCATATGAAGATCCTCTTCGATTGCTACATATACTCTCATCAGATAGGGTACGGTAAAGTGTCCTCCGTGGAGAAAGGTTTCCATAAAATGAAAACTAAACATCAAATTTGAAGATATAAGAACAAGTAGTACTGGTTAAATAATTAAATAAATAAAGTATTTATGGTTAAATAGAGTATTACTGGTTAAAATAATTCACACAACCATATCCCATCATTAGTTCTTGGGATTAATATTCTGGGAAGGCACTCTGGAATTCTTGTGCTAATACAGAAGATCAGAGATTTATTCCACCATATCAGATCTAACGGGGCCTCGAAAGAATTACTGAACTGGATTTTCATACTTCCTCTTGATATTTTGGAACATATGACCATGAATTTATTAGATACAGTATAGCTTTATTAATTCTGAAATGTTAAATGAAACCTCCATAGCCTTATGACAGCAGTGTTTTCCAAAAATATATGCCAACTCTGGCAACATTTATTCAAACTATACATAGAACTGTTTGATTTTAATTTGAAATGACTATGCTTTAATCTGAACATTCTGAACTGATACATGGTGTAATATAATTAATTGGACAATAAAAGTGACTTGTGACACTGCATCTCTCCAGATATCATGAAATAGGCTTAGAAAAGAAGATAACAGAGTTCAGTGAAAACTGTTTATGCATTTTAAAAAGTTACTTAAACCACAACTCAAATATCTACAGCAAAACAAGATGTTGCTGTATTGTAAAACTGGGCTGTTCCATTTCATAAGTCATTCGGCACTGCAAATCCAGTTATTCATCACATCTACAGATGTCAGTTATTGCCTTAATTATTTTAATTGGGTTGTCCTGCATATAACAATTTAATGTCCTGTCCTGTTTTCTTTGTAATTAAGTATGAGTTGCACACTCCCTATGCAGAATGTATGCTTAAGAGCAGTAGCTTTTTAAAACAGTGAATATAGCACAGAATTAAAGATATCTACATTGTTAGATTTCCGACAAAACTTGCTCACTGATGAATACTTCCAAAAGGAATACACAAAAACACTCAATCACGCCACAAGACACAGTCTTTACAAAATACTTAAATACACTTCATAGTGCTACTTCAGGAAAGCATCTATCTTGATGACAATACAGAACACACTCAATTGTTAGAATGCTTAACTGTGTCCCAGAGAAAATTGAGGGAGATATTCAGATTCTAATCTAGGAAAGCATCAAAATTCTACATCAGTTCTAGAGATTTGACTGAAACAGATATGGGCTGTGCAAATAAACATCGTCCAAAGCTTTAACACATGTGTAAAATAAGCATAACAATAGACATAAGCAGCATCCTTAAAAAAATATGGTATGCCTCTATAAGCAGTGGTTAAAGAATATCAAAAGACTCTAAGCCTAATTGGGCTTAGGGACCACATTGGGCAAAGGGTTAAAAGCTTTCATCTTCTGAATTGAAGAGTCTCTGATCCTATTTCCTGCACTCAAGATTCCCAGCAAGCATGCTGCTGCAATTCTTGGCTGTTACTCAAGTCTCAACCTTATACTCCATCTTCTGTCTATAAAGATTGTTCACTAGCTATCCAAACATGTTGAATGCTAATTGTGGGACCTTTACAGAGTTTCCTTTCAGGCTGTGACAAAAATGAAACATTACATAGAGGGCTCAATTATTCCCTGATCTATGAAGAAGGTAAACCAAAACCAAACGAAAAATGTAATTTGATTCTGTAGAATCTTACATATTCAGAAAATTCCTTCCTGGCTTTGCCATCAAAAACAACTGACTCACCTGTACCAAGATTACTACCCTCTATGAAGGCATAATCAAAGACTGGATACTGCCGAGTCCTACGGCTGGGGATCCCCTGGGACTCAGGGCCCACAGTCTCTCTCACTTAGTGAGCTTTTGTTTGGGTATCATGGTGGGGGGGAAAGGACAGCAGTAATTTATCTTAGAATGGCCACATCTCCTCACTCCTTGTTGTTTCTTATTTAGGTAGTCAGAAACATTGGTAGCTCTTGAAATCATCACAAAAAAAACAATTATTGTATCATTGTAAATCATAAAAACCTCTATGACATTATTCATGAGAATTGAAACACATGTAACGCATGTTTAACATACTGCATGTTAAAAAAATATATATGATCTGAATTTTAAATTTAACTCTGCACTTAGAGGATTCCCATGCGTTACTTTTGTTCAGACACAATGATTATGCTATTTAGCACATTGTATAAACACAGTGGTTTAAGAGAGCATTGAGTTAATATCAAAGTGTGAAAATTATCTCAAGTAATTTAATCGCTTTGTGCTTTATTCCACATTAAGCACAGAATTCAGAATCATGTATACTTTGGGGAGTAGTAAATTTTAAGTTCTCTATCCACGTTTTGTGAACTTTTACATATTACCAATTGTCTTCATACTATAAAGATCAGATATATGCTCTCCACCATCGCTGACAATTATGCCTTTTGAGCAGTTGCCACTGGTACCTAAATGAAATTCTGATTCAGACTTCAGACTTGTTGGTACTGAGTATCACAGAGAAGGGGAAAAGCAGGCTACTTTTATCCATGTGTCTTAATATCATATCAGGTGTGTAGGTTTAGGCATCTAACCTTGAAAACGTTACTTTTAATCTTTGAAATTATAATTAAGTAGCTCAACCTGCACCTGTCTGCTCAAGCTATGCAAAGACATATTTAAACAAATACCGTATTTCATACATAATAACAAAACTAGATATCATTTTTATATGGTGGGAAATTATATCTTGGCACTTATGGTCAGGATTAATAGCATCCCCATGGAATATACTTAGCTTATACAAAATGGTATTGCCTTCTCTATATCAATTTTGGGAATACCAGAAATTAATTTCTGAGGTAACTGTGTCTGAGATACACAAAGTTGAAGAAGGTAGCTAACCTTTCTTCTCCCCTCCTCCATAGAGAGGCTGTCTGGCAGCATCAACTTCAAAAAATCTTCTTTGGACAAGACTTGCTGGCTTTCAACAATGGCATTCCGCACAGAAGTTTGGAGTGGACTCGATGCAGACACAGCATCAATATCATCATACACTCTGTTGAGACAATTGGTGTTTTGAGCAAGAGAAGCAATTGTGCTCTTGGATTTGAAAGACTGCATTAATTTTCCATCACAAAGTAAAAATTGTTAGAATTCCATCCTGACACAGCACACTTACTTAGAACAATTTTCTGATCATTTTATATTTATGAAACTGTGTGTGGGTCCAAAATGAAATTCTTAAACCACTGAAAAATCAATTTTAGGAATTCTAAAGAACAAATTTAGAAAGCATAATGCTTGTTTCTCCTAGCTTGCATGTCTCTTTTTCACACACCACAGTTCTCTATTGTTAAAGATGTATTTATATCAGCATTTCCAATAATTCATCATAAAATAGTTTAACGTTTACTTCCTTAGCAAATAAGAAAATCAGTATTTTATAGTGTGGCATTGTATCCAGCTTCACGATCTGGCAAAATTACTATGGTCATCAATGGCAACGTTTGAAGTGTATTGGTAATGGATTATGCCATGTGGCAAGTATGTTTTATTATCAGCAATTTCATAAAGCTCTGTAGATAAATAAAACAGCTGTCTTCCTTAATTACCAGCATATAAAGATGTATTTACAGTCAACAAAATACTGTCAAATTGAATTATTATCTTTCAGTGTCCTTCCAGTGAGAGAGGAGAAAAGGAATTTTAACAGGTTTACTCTGGAAACACAATCAAAGGAACTAGAGATTCCCAATCACATGGAACATACATTTGAAGCCATTACTTACTGCCAAGTGCAGCATAATCAGTGACTCTGTCTTCAGCAGAGAGGAAACAAGCTTTGCTACGGTAAAGTGTAATTCTCAGTAAATTATATTCTACAGTGGCACAACATTCAGCAATTGACCTGATTTTCATCATCGTTGCTAATTAGAGATGTTATTTTATTTCAACATAATTATCCTCAGAGAGATGTTTCCTCTCTGTGATGTATATAAAATTTTCCTAGAAAGGAAGAGGTGAAGCAATGCTGTATGTCGTGAAAAAATCTGAAAATGTTTTCTGATATATGAAGTGCTGCCATATTCAATTAATATTTCTTAAATAGAACTAGCTCTTGAAGATACTTTTCTAAATTGCTGTGGTTTCAGTCTAAATACCATGGTTCATTATGCAATTTTGTTTTAAGGGTTCCATTCAAAATAAAGATAAATTGTTTCAGGAGTTCATCAACTTCAAAATGCAAAAATCTGTAGGAATCAGTGAAGTTACCACTACTTAGGTGCGATATTACTACGACTGAACAATTTAAGCAATTAAAACATTGGGGAGGAAAAAAATGAAATCAGTACAATAACACTTAGAAACACAAATAACCAAGACAGGAAGGTAGTAACATCACCTACTTTTGAAAATTAGGGACTTAAGAGTTTAACTTCAGGCTTATATTTCATAGCATATATATTCTAGCTTATATTTAAAAATATTAATCTTGTCGTAAATATGCACATACATGCAATATGAGATATTAGATGAAAATAACGCATTCCCATTAAACAAAGAGTAATCCCATAGTAAACATTTGAAAATCAGGTACTGAATGTCGCCTTGTCAATTTATCGAGATATATAGGGCTGACTATGATTTATTGAGAGAGAGAACTGAACAGCTTACACACAAAAAGAAAGGAGGTTATGAGAAGATGATTTTGAAGATAACAGGAATTTGAAGTTTAGTTTTAAACAGCAGATTCAAACACTACTTATTACTGCTGCAGTACCGAGAAAGTATCATCTCGATCTATATTTGAGATACTGCAACCTTTCCTTTGAGTGCAAGCCTTTTTCCTCCACCTAAAAAGAACACATTTCTCATGAGCTATTCCTGTGTTAAGCTGTACATGTAGCTGGTCGTTAGAACTGCTCTGAATAGCTATGTCTAAATGTCACTTGCTAGAAAAATACATGGTTTTACTGAAGCCTGCACACTTTGTAGAGTCTTGTGAAGAGAGGGTCAGATTATCCACAGTTAATCTTTGTCTTGAGGGGTCCTAACCACCAGTTTGTACCTGTTCATTAAAAATAAAGTCAGAAAAAGATATCAAAGAACCACTAACATACCCCCAACTGGCACTAATTTTTAAAAACTATCTACCATAGATCACTTATATGTTTAGGGTCATCTCTCTAATCTGTAATGTATTAGGCAATGTAATAGGCAACAAGGTAGTAAGGTTTAATACAGAAACATCAGGAAGTAAGCTTTTTTCAACTAACTAAAGTTCCTCAAGATTTGCAGAAAAGGTCTTTAAGACCTTAATAAAATTGTACCTTCCCAACTGTCTCCTAGAGGTTCAAAATGGGTATTCAGAATGTCTGATATAGCCATACATTTTTGCCTACACACACGTTCAAAAACTTTTGTCAGCTTGCTTTATTTGACACAAGGAAAAAAGATGCAGCTGAATATAACAGAGGAGGAAACAGCATTCTGTGCAGTCTTTTCTTCTTTTTTTGGATGCACCTTTGATACATAAAGGTACAGAAAAATTCCCAAACATTTGAAAGCAAAATGGAATTTTTAGTTTTCCTATTCTATTTTAGAATTTATTTTCATTACTCTTCTTTCCCCAAAAAAATTAAAACAGAGTTCTTACTCGTGGCATTCAGAAACTTCAGATTCTTCAGGTGTAGGACTTCCTTCTGATTTTTTCCATCCAATGACATATTTACTCACTGCTCCTTGTCTGTGGTATGGTTTTGAAACTGACCCAGAAATCTGTTGACTACTGTTCTGTGACACTATATAGACTTTAGAGGTATCTAGAGAGCCACTCTTTTTAGAGCAATGTGTTGATGGGCTTCCTGAATGATGTGACCCACTGAAAAGGTAAAGAAAACACACAAAAGAGAAAATGAAATTTGCTATACAACGACAAATCAAAACTTTTTGCCTGGTATGAAGCTATAATTCTTAAGTTTTTCTCACAGCTAAAATCAAGATAGCAATATTGGTACAGTAATTCTGTACATAGCAGCAGCACATACACTAAAGCTCTTTGAGAACACAACTGCGATGAGTTGCTAAACCAAGTAATGTATATAATTCAACTTGCTGAAATGCCAATGCAAACTGATTTGAACTAAAATTAAAAGACTAAGTTCAAAACACATATCAAATTTGTGTGTGCAATTTTAAGTAAATATGTACACACACATTCTAAATGGTATAATTCCATTTACATTAAGAACTATATAGGGAATTACTCAAATATTTCTCTAATTATAAAACTTATGTGCTTTTCCAGTTCATGTTAATTTTGCCAGTTCACACCATTTTAAACTGTGTCCTTCATTCAGTATCACTGAGAATTTCATATTAACAGAAGTAAATTTCAGTTCAACAAAAACAGTCCTCTGGATAATTTTAATAGGCTCTTTTATTATGAATAATAGCACTACTAGGCACTAATGAAACCTTTTACTAAAGACTCTCAAAATTATTTAAAATTAACTAAAGCAAACACTTCCTTGAAGAATAAATTTCTTCTTTTCATCTTGGAGGTGAAGTAAGCAAAGCATTCAGAAACTAACTGCCTCCCCTAAAATCAGAGGCTGGAACCTGAAGCAGCACCTCATAACTTTTATTGTTGGTTTATGAATATCAAATACAGTGCCACCTTTTAATCCAATCCCAAAAGCACTGGATTCATTCAGGGAGGACCAGATGTTGCTGAAAGTGTAACAGACACAGCTACTTTGGTGTCCATGCAGAGTCAAATACAAGAAATGCTCATGCATAGATGTCATTAGATCAAATCAAAATGCCTACTGGGGAAGAAAATTGAATCAATAAAGCAATGGATTAATAATTTTGATCACGGTTAGTCTGTGCATTTAAGCTTAAACCCAATTTATTTTCTCTCCTGTCATCCCTCTTTCTCCCCCAAAAGTAGAAACAAGATTATGAGGTTTTGGGAGAAGAATATAATGCAAGTGATTTTAAAAGCTTTTTTGCTTGCTGTCCTTGCAAATATGCAAATAAATTATGTAAAGATGTGGTGAAGAAAATAATTCGGTTATGAAAAATTGAAATCTAAAGATGAAGCAAACATTGAAGCACAATGTGAAATGCATATCAGATCAATAGCAAGGACATTATCCAGAGGATTAGGATATTTGTAAGTATTTGTAACTAAATTTAAGAAAAATTGAGCATCCAACCTTGTTCTGTAGGTTTTAAATAAGGGAATAATTTTGAAGTGAAGAAATAAAATACCTGTAAAAGATTGGTTTTGGATATGCAATGGTTGGAACAAGCAGTATATTGTTTTTTAGGAGCCAAAAGATGAAGCTAAGCTGTTTCAGCTACAGTAACATGAAGGTATTTGATAATTCACGTGCATAATTAATATCAAATAGGACAGATAAAACCATTAATAACAGAGATGTGAGACATAATGTTGTGCATATCTCAAGTCAGTCGTCAGTCTTGTAGTTTGAGATACTGCTTTCCGCAGAAGGTATAATTCCATAAATCTTACTTGGATACTATAGTATTAACTTTTTCAGGGGGTTCTTTATCCCATGATGTTAGAGAATCAGGCCAGTATCTTTCAACCAACCAACATCTTTGCTATGCATCTATTCAGTAAACAGAATATAATTTTAATAAAGAAATATTGCAATTATAGATCAATGACATTTTATCAGTCTGTGTGCTTGCTTCTTGAAGTTTTACACTGTTCAGCTACTATAGAACAAGTTTATTATTTAACATTCACAAAATAACTGAGAATTAATACCTCAGTAGTATTAGAATTTTATTGTTCTAGATTATGAAGAAATACAGACTCAGTGTCTGACCAGTTGGAAAATACATACAAGATTCAGCAGTAAATATCATACTCTTAAATGCTAACTCAAGTATCTTATGCCTATTTGAACATGTCAGTGTTGAAGCATCACAGTTATAAAATGAGGTATTTTTTAATAATGTATGCCTGTGGGTGTTGTATAGGTGATGCCAGCTTTTAAATCCAACTGCAAAATTATTTATCACTTGAATGTAATTTGAAGGATATGTAAGCAAAGTTTAAATAAAACAGTTGAGTCACATATCATAAATTTGACAATTTCCTATAGCAAAAGGATTTGGCACACAAATTAGAAGGTGCTCATTTGAAAACATTGCTATTGATGAAGTGGAATTGAGCAATCCTAATGTGAGTCATTACTTCAGCAATAACTGCTACTTCGGAAATGCCTAGGTAAACTCACTCACGATCTAGATGCCTTTATTTTTTTTTTTTTAATTTAATTAATCCATAAAATGTTTATTCAGAAGTGAGCAGCAGATTACTTAATGGCTGCCTGGCACTTTAAATATGACAGCTGCTACACAGGTACTGAGAATACATATTCTAGCCATTAGAAATCTATTTCAGCTCATTCTGATGAAGTCCTACAAACACAGAGCATATCTCTAGTGCTTTAGAAGTCTCAATATACAAAATTAAATCTCAACACATACAAAGCAGAGTAAATCTGGAGCTTCTGCATTACTACACAGCTAGTGAAAGCTTAATGTAAAAGCAGCACTTACCTAGTTTTCACAAGTCTGCACAATAGCCTATAAGATCTATAACTTGTGAAGAAAAGTATCTAGAAGTCAGATAAGTATACAAGACTAATTCACTCATATCAAGCATATAGAGAAACAAGGATACAAGGTATTATTTTGTTATTTTCCTGTATTGATTGACATTGAAAACAAGAAAATCAGAAGGAATGAAGAACAAACAATTTCCTTCCATCCTGCACAGAGTAAAAACCTTAACACATAGACCAAAACTTCAACTTCAAAGTCACCATAAAATGGGAACTGGGAGATAAAGGCAACCAGCTGTAAAGGCGTTCTTTCAAAGTTTGCTTTACAACAGATGTACCATGCACACATTCCACTGGTAACAAAAAAAAAGAGCTGAAAATCAATCAGAAATTCAATCCAACAAACAAAATTGTAAAGCATACATCATAATAATGTAAATTAGGGGGAAATGGGATGCAATTCATTTTCACTATATGTAAAAATTGTCCACTACAATTATAGTTTCCCTCAGCATTAACGCCCACGTAATTTGCTGCACCGTACTACAAAAAAAAAAAAAAAAAAGTATGTAAAATAAGTTCTAGGTGCAAGCTTCACTTTTACTCAGGGATGTTTCCCAACTTTTAAAACCTGAACAATATGCACAAGGTCACATACAAAGTCTCCATAAGATCTGGGTGTAGGGCTAGCTATTGCTTTTTAGGCAGACTCATCAAAAATTGCCTGACAGTTGCTCATACAGGCATTTAAATACAAAAAAAAAAAAAAAAAAAAAAAAAAAATCAGTTAAGTGCACTTTGAGATAAAGGTAAACAGAAAAACAACAATGAAAAAGCATTCTCTCTATGTTAAACTATGATCCATAATCCCTAATTTGTAAAAAACACATACCTGGAATGAGAGGAGATTTCACTTAGGTCTCCCATACTGCCTTCAGCTGTGTGACTGGTAGAAATAGCAGAAGTATAGCTATGAACAGCATAGATTTTAGCAGGATCATCATCTGGCCCAGGAGTTTCAGAAGACTCAGTCCACTGCTCAGTACGACAGTGCACTCCAGACCTGCTGCCAGCAAGGTGCAAAGGAGCCAGAAGAGGAGTAGGCATGCAGGGAGCTGTATCAATTCCACTGTCAGTAGAAGCCCCCTTTATATATGTTAATCCAAGCAGCTCAGGATCCATCAGATCTCCAGAACCAAAGTGTTTTTCATCACTGTTGCTGGATGTATTACTGGATAGGGTGTTGCTGCTTGAGTGGCTTGAACAGCTTTTGTCTCCAATCTTAACAACAAGAAAAGAAACAAAAGACGACCCCCCCTCAAGTTAATAGTAAAATATTTATTTTCACATAAATCACTGAATTTGTGCCATTCAAAGACCTTTTTTTTTTTTTTTTTTTTTTACAGGATGCTATAATATAACTGCAAAATATGAAAAGAGCTAATTATACCATCAGTTTCTATGAAATGAATTGAACAGCTGGCTAGACACATTAAAGGTTGATGTCACTGCAAATAAAAAAGCTTTAGCTTCATCTTCTATGGCAAATCTTAAGATCACACTTGAATTTTCTGATTATAGGACTTGCTTAACATCCATAAAATTGCATTGCTAGGCAGTTAAAATAAGCATTTGTTAATGTTAGAAGCATTGGTAATTATTTGTTTAAACAAGTTCTACCACAAATCTGAAAAACACCAAAGACTGAATTATCGTTTTTTTCTCAGTGTGGGTGAAATATGAAACTTATTGGATCAAAACCAATGGGATGTGTGGCTTGTTAAATTGAAGCCAATTGCAATGTATGTGTACCAGATGAAAGTAACTTAAGTCATAGGGCCTTAACCTAAGCATGGCTATTGAAGTGGAATAATTATGTCAGGCATTTGTGTCAATAAAATTGGGGGGTTTTGTTGTTTTTTTCACAGAGATTTTATAGAGAGTTGGATTAATTTACCTATGTGACAGAGTAGCCAGAATAAGGGCAGATGGAATTCTATTAGGGCAGATGGACTTCTATGAGGCAGAATCTAAGTGGGAAGGATTCCTAACTTTTTTACGAGACCCCTCTCCTAGAAGTTGCATAAAAACATAGCTGCTTCTCACATATTAAAGCAGTTAGACAAGGCAGCCTTTCCAAAAATGATACTTCTATTCCATATGGAAATTAACAAGCCTCAAAATTTGAGGAAATTATTTCAGAAAAAATAGGAGGAGTTACATTTGCATTCATTCTAACCTTTACAAGATGGCTGCCACCTTAAAAACAATGGAACAATTGATAAAAATACAACGAGCAGCTTTTCCAAGGAGAAGGACTTGGAAAAAGGTGTCTGGAGAAAAGGCATGTCACTTCTTACTGTAAATGTAAAATGTAACCAAAGTGGAAAGAAACGGGGGTGGGGAATAAACTCAAAGGCATAAAATTAGCCTCAGAAGACATATTATAGGTATGAACCTTCCCCAAGATTTCTTGTATATTGCTGAACATACATATTTAGGCATATTTCCTGAGCCTGCTGGAGGCAAAGAATCTGGACAACAGCTATTGATAGAGACATCTTGAACTGCTCAAAGCTCACTATGGCCATAGCTTAGGATAAATTTATGCATTTCCTTGTGCTAAGAGAAATTATTGTATGAAAGCTCAGCATGGCCCTAATTGTTACATGTTGTTAAAGACTGTGTCATGGATCAAGCTTTAAAAAAAATCCAACCCAAACAACAAAAACAAACCCCAAAGCCCAAAACAAACCCAAAACCATCAGAAACATGATATTTATTCCAGGAAAACAAAGAAACCTTGAAGATAGCCAGTGAAATTCCCCTCACCATCCTTCCCCCAAGTTAAAACTGATAAAAAGACAGCACAGATATTTTTTTCTAATGGTTAAATATTTTACAGAGTTCTTGTACATTTGCTGTAGCCCTCAGCATGAATTTCACTGGCTGGCAGAGAATCAGATGGTAAATTGAGCTGAACAAAAAGGGGATGCACAAGAGAACATTACAAGGTCCTTTACAAGGACCTTTTTTTTCTCTGTTTTACAGCATCTAACAACAAAATAGCCTCATTTTATTATCATTATAATAATGCTGGATCTTACTTTGTACAATATAGTTCTTAAATGCTTCACAGATTAAGCAAGCCAGTATAAATGAAGCTGTGAATACAGAGGTGAGTGTAGACTATACTAGTTTTATCTCCTCAGTGCCCCTGATGCAAGCTCTCTTGGAGTTCTTAGTTTATGAACACAGACTAAGCATACTCAATTCACCCCACATCTAGGTGAGAACAGTTTTTGTCTCCCAAAACACACAATGGTGTTCATAAATTGCTCAAATGTACTTTTAAGATGTATTCCTTTAAGTCCAGGGTGGGGGAGTGAGTTGGTTTGGGTTTAATTTTTTTTTTAGAGTTTTGAATGACATCCAAGTAAAAGACTTACATGTGAAAGTTTGTTTGGTGACTCCTTGCCACTGCCTTCTTTCTGTAAAGCCCGGTCTTTGTAGGAGCTCAAGACTTTGGTCGATGGTACATGCCACTTGGTTTCTGCCATAAATAATTGTGTTTTAATTTCTGAATGCTAAAAAGATGAGTATACTGTACAAAGAAAAAAGGCACATGGCTTAGCATCAGGTTTCAAACCTGTACCCTCTTTGGAATCAGAGACATGTACCTTCTCAGAATCTCCTAGGATCTAATTTTTCAATGAAAATTAAATGAAGTTCAACCTGCTTTCCATCATTCATGAGACTTTCCGAAGTTCAGGCATAGTTTGTTCCAAGTATTATCTAAATATCCCACATCATATTCTGTTACAGTCTGTAGCAGTCTGCTTTCACTGTCATATTACATGCTCTTTCTGTATCAAACCTCCGCATAAGAGGGTGGTTGTACTTCAACAGGCACCGCATTACAAAGAACATTCACTTTTAAGATACAGTGGATTTTATTACCAGAATGTCTATTTCCTTCCAAAGTTTCTTCTCGTTCTCTGCCTCCTTCACATTCCAGCGAGCCTGAACCTTGGTGGTGTTCATGAAGCAGAGGGGACTGGCACCTTTTAATGTAAGCAGAAAATTAAGCTGGTTTTTTTTTTTTTTTTTTTCTCCCTAGAAAACTAGTTACATGATGAACAACAACACTGTTTATTTTTCAAAGCAAATATTTTGTGATTCGTTTAAACAATCATCATCACTCCCACCAAGCAAGTATAATAACGTTTCCAAACACTGCATGGAAATATTTACATGCAATTTTTTCAACAGTATGCTGTTATATCTTAAGTGTGAACAGGCCACGAAGACACTGAACTTTAAGAAGAAATGCATTCTTAGGGCTATATATCCAAAGATTTTTGCAATGGAGAACTATGGTAATATATGCTTAACTGCTTTATGAACTAAGCCCCACAGAAAGTAACTGTAGTTTTTCAGGTTTTCACAGTCAGAACATGTAAGCTAGTACCAGGTCCATTGGTTTGTATTGTATTGCAAGTTAAATTATTTTACAAAGCAACACACTAAAACCAAGGTCGCTATTAGAAGTAACTGTGCTGGAAAAATGACACAAGATGCATTTTCACGTGTTTATTGTAGAAAAATTTGCTACAGTTTTACTTGAATTATTAGCATCTATTTAGCTGCCAGAATTTCAGTGAGTATCCTGAAATTCCTTGAGGAGTCTCCAAGATATTGCATATATATCTGCTACATGGAATATCTTGACAGTCCTGCCAAAGCAGTATTAAGCTTACAAGGAGTCAAGACGATGTTTTCAATATTCATATTTTTCCTGCAAAGTAGCTTCTGAAAGCCACGCGGCAAGTCTGGAATGCCTTTATATTATGCTATGTAGATACCTCCGTAGCTCAACATTTTATAACCGGAGTGCTTTTGACAGCTATATTTATATAACGAAGTGATAAATTTAAAGTAATTTAGAACAGATGTTTCACATAGTATTCTTATAACATGTACAGTATATCGGGGTGGCCTTTTATACACAGATAGCTAACCTCTGAAACTTCAGCACCAAGGGATTAACAGGGATATGAAGGAACCATCTATATACTGCAACTGCCTTTTAGGTAGAAGAGACTTCTGAAAGAGTGCTACTTTTTTGAGGAAAGATGCTAGAAAATGGATGCCACTGGAGCAAGAACAGTAGGAAATAAAACCTCTGAAGACCATAAAGATAATTTTTTTAAATCAAATACCCTTCCACTGAAGCAAAAGGAGCTATTACTATTTTATTCCAATTCTGAGTTACTAGCTGATTCTCGGCCTGTTGCTGGGAAAGCAAACCTAAGAAGTGTTTGTTATTTACCTGAATCGCAAAATAAAAATGTGGTCCTAAGGAGCTAAAGTAGTTTGGCTTTAAAATTGTATTGGCATACATGTTATGTTAAAGATCAGTAGACCTGTACATCTTAAAAATATACTAACAGTTTGCAAAAATAAATCTATGATACAGAACATCCGCATAAATTTTGCTTCAGAAAAAGATGCACGGGAGCTATAGCAAGATTAAAAAAAAAACAAAAAAACAAATCACCAGTACCCGTCATATCCCACTTGCTGTCTCCACTGGCTGCTCCCGCTGGGTCCTGGATCACTGGAGGAGGACTGGTTGCTCGGAGAACTTCTGTAATGTTGACTAGAGTCACTAACAGTGCACTGTGGTATTTGTGGGGTTTCAGATTTGAACTGGGCTGAGCTTCTTTTATGAAATACATTCATTCTTACAAATTATGAAGATGCAGTATGAACACTTAATTATATTCATTTTGGGAATTTACAGTTTTATCTTAGTTTCACAACACTTATACAGTCATTTTTAAAGTATATTATTAATTTCATCACTAATAAAATACATCCAACCAAATATATTAAAAAGGCACAAAGAGAGAAAGCCTAAGTGCCAAATCCTGTTTTCCTTATATCTAGATTTACTTCTGAACAAGTGGGATTACTCAGGAGTCAGAGCAGCTGGATTGGGTCTCTAAACTTATGTGTGAAAAGCTCTCATGATGGATCAGAAACGATTGTTAGTTGTTTTGCATGTATTCCAATTTTCAACATGGTAATTAAGAAGAAGTAATACCAGCATTTCTTTGATTTTATTGTCTTTGACATAGAAGAGCAATAACAAAACACTGTCATAAATAGTATTATTTTATACTTATTATTTAAACTTTTAAGCCTCATGTCTTAACAATGTCTCTAAACACTCTTCTTGGATTTCTGGACAGTTGAACGCTCAAATTTGGTTTTGATGACCCTCCTATCCTTTGCTTCTCTGCATATCAGTCCATAATTACAATACAGTATTTCCCTCAGTGACATTACCTTGAATTCCCCTTATTTCCTTTTTTTTTTTTTTTTTTTTTCTTAAGGCTATATGTAGAGATGAATGTATGTACTCAGGGAAAAGGTGAAAAAATGTAGTTTTGGATTTATGCACAACACTTTTACAAGGACATGACATTCAATAAACAACCCCAGCGTTCAGCTTGAAAATTTTAATGACATTAGCTGTTCTATTTTGTCTAACAGCCAAACACATACACAATTAGTAGATGGTGTAGTGCCTAATTTTTCAGCATGTGTCTCTGTGATAAGTATTGACAGGACTGAGTCTCTCTCAATCAAGTGAAATAGTCTATAGGGTACAGTGGAATTCAGTTTTATGTTCTTGCTTCTTACCACAAAGAACATTGCATTTCTTGCACAGCTTAAGTGAAACAGCATTAAGGAATGGGTAAGTTATGATCCCATGTGTTTCCAGCCTCCAGGCTGATGTTTAGGATATTGTCCTCAAAACTGGGACATTGGTTTGTACTACCCCAGGCTAAAGAATGTCTAGATCCCAAGTCTCTCATCTGCTGGACAAGTGTCTAGCCATTAGCCTACTAGACAAAAGGCGGCTACAAAAGGAGGATCACAGAAATCCAGTCAGTGAATGCCACATACAGTTCCTTTACAGAAGAGTTGCAGCTGCCTGCTCTCCAGACTGGATTCCAGCCTCCAGGTGAAAGAACATGCTCACCTACAAGTGCGACTCAAGGACAGAGACTTCTTGGTGTGAAAAAACAAAAGAGTGTGTCTAAGTGAAGTTTCACTCTTAGGCACTCACTATGAGCAGCTGTCACAGAATTAGGCATTTTGTAAAAACATGAGTAGAACTCAAGGATACCCATGTACTTCTTAGGGACTAATTAGAGGAAACTCCTTGATCAACAGAAAAACGTTTGGAGTGGCTTCTCAAAGCAGAACTCTTCTGTGGAACTGCACTAGAAGCGTAAGAGTTTAGTTCCCAGTTTTTAATTTCACCCCAGGGACCGGGCACTTAACTGTTACATGTCACAGTAGTTGAACTGTTGCTGCTTAAATCTTTAAGTACTATCTATCCCACATTACTGTTGTTTCTTCCTCTTTTTATCTCTAAAAACAACCATTCTATCACTGACTTCAATGTTGGCTCATTTTCAGATCAGCTGCTACAACTTTCCTGTTTTATCAACCTCCTTCTCCTTGCCTGCACTCTTCAATTTGTCTAAACTGATACTGGCTCCCTGACCGCCCCAAATCTCTTCACCATTTTTCTAGCCTGAGTATAAATTTTCACCCTTGCAGCACTATTTATAAGTACTAATCAAGCTTACTTCAAACTTCTTAGTTTTAAGCCCATCTCTCTGCCAATCTCTTCCCATGTGGAAAGACCTTGCCAATTAGGTACATTTCTTTTCATGTTTCAAGACCCACATGTCACAGTTCATCATTTTCCTCTCTTTTCATTACTTATACTCTGTACCATGTCTTCCCCAGAAGAGCACTTCTGCATGGCACTTGTTTTGTTTAAGTGATACAGGAATTTCTTCATGACAGGAGATAGCCGCTGTCTTTGCATTTTTTCACATGCTTCACTGAGTGTTAGAAAAAACGCAACTTATATTTGTGAAGTTTTTTGGAAATGAGTAGTATGTCAGAAAGCTTTCATTTTTTCCTCTGTATAGGCATACAGTATGCTTAATAAAGCTCCATAATCCCAAACTATTTCTAAACAGTTGATGCATTGTCTCCTTATGCTAGATGCTTCTGAGAATTTCAGTAAGAAGACATTAGGAAAAGCCTAAGTCCTATAATGGTATATACATGCTTACAGGAATGCACCTCTCCTTTTTTTGGGGGGGTGAGGAGGGGGCTAGGGAGGAAGGAGAATACAAATGGTCAAACAGTCATAACTGGGAGTCTGCCTTTCCCAGACCATGATATAGACATATTTTCAAGTATGTACTACTTTTACCTGTATATATTTCAAACAATGTAAAAAGTCACAAATTCTTCTCTACTGAATAAGACAGATACCGTAGCAATAGTGGTATTTCAGGATTTCATCCAGAATTTTTAAAAGCTACTTAAGACTAGTATTTTAGATTTTCATATCAATTAGATATTTTCAACATGAAGTGGTTTTTAACTTGGAAATTAGAAATACATTACCCCATAGAAAAAGGGCATAAGCAGGGATAATTGCAAACAATAAAGGAAAAAGAGTTCTGCTCAAGACATATGGTTTTCCTAAATAATTCAAAGGTCAAATGTATGTACAAATTTTTAACTTTAAAAATAAATTTTTATCTTAAGAAGAATTATGATTAAATTAGAACAGAGCTAACATTTAAGGATACCAGCCCATCATCTAAGAGGTGTTACATATTCAAATCACAAGCTCTGCTTTGTTTAATTAAAAGCAAAGCCAAGCATAAGGACTGGTAACAAGTTACAGACCCTTTTGAAATTATGCCAGTAACTCAGTAATGAGATTAAGTAATTCATTTTTAAAGGAATAAGTTCATTTTATTTACACTCATTATTTGTTTAAATAGGTTCCCAAAAGGTGGGGGACGGGACACTGTTTAGATCAAAAAGGCATAAGGCAGTTTCCCACTGATTTGATTCCCATTGATCTGGGACTAAAGGGAAAGGTTAGCTGTCCTCAGCAGTAGGATCCTCAGTACACCCCACTGCTATCACAAACAATAGAAGTCACTTGTTTCAAGCAGAGGGAACCGGGCTCAGTGAATTCTTTTAATACAGCCTCGGAATTAAAATTACTGTCGAAACTCAACAAAATAAGGTTTAAAAAATAAGCATACCAACATTCGAGAAAGCAGAAATACCTAACGTAAGGCACATTAGGAAAATGACGGGCATTAAACAGAGAGTGTATTACCTTGCGCCATCTGGCAGTTTTCTATCAAAGGAAGTGCTGCGAGGAATGGCTGTCTGAGCCTGCTGGAGAAGCTGCTGGCACTGCAGTCTGTCGGATGTTCCTAGGATTGGAGAGGCACGAGAGAGAGGCTGCCCAGCGGGAGTCGGCACCCGATGCCAAGTGGTATTCCTTCTGAAAGGGGTTTTATACTCACATGGGGTGCCTTCACTGTCAAGTTTGTATTCCACCATGGGTATACGACAAAGTTCTGAACAACCCCTGCGGGACAAATGAAAATGCTGATCAGTCTCACTGGAGGGAACAGAAAAAGAAACCTTGCATTCTACAGTCAGAAGTATAGGCATATGTTTCTTCCAGGTGCCCAAAGCTGTTCATATAGCACTGTACAGCCCTTCAAACATTTCAAAAATATGCCAACCAGGTAGGAAACGTTCAAAATAATGGAAAATCAAAATTTGCCCTCATGTGCTCAAATGATTTCAAACTCTCTCCTTGCCCTTCAAAAAGGAGAAAATACTAAGCTTTCATAACTTAATCTACAGCTTGAATTTTACATAATAAATCCCAGTAGAAACAAAGTATTCAAAAGTCAGAAAACATCAAGTTCTTCTATAACAGTTTTAGTTTGTTTAAACCTAATAAATACAAATAATGTCTTAATGTAAATATTTATACATACACCATTATAAAGCATATCTGTTGCTTTGCAGCAAACTAAATGTTTCTTAGTGGTATTAAGAACCTTCCTTTAGAATCCCACCTTGTCCCCACCAAATAACAGAGCGTATACACTGCAATGGAAATGATGACATGTCATCTAAATGTTTTTCTATTTGCTTTCAAAGTGTACTTTCTAATGTCTCTCTTCCTGGGGGTGTCTATGCCTGGAAGAGAAATGGGGAAGTGGAAGGAAGAGACAAATCAGAAAAAGTCTGGATTACAACCTCTGCTTGAAGCTTACAGTGTGGTTAAATACCAACAGTATTCCCAGAATGTGTAAATTCAGGTAAAAGTAGCAACAGTGTTCCCCAAAAGATCAGTCTGCCTGTGAGATATTTGCTGTACACTCGGGTTGGACTTAAATTGTGTTACTGTTTCAGAAATTAAACAGAACCTTCACACCCACTTTAAGCCAACACTATCATTGCAGATATTTTTTTATTCTCACATACCATCTCCATTATTTGTCTGATAGGCAGTGTGTACTAAATTAACATCTATAACTGAAGACAGGTCACTAGAATGCTCCAAAACAGAACTCATAATTCCTGGTTTTTTCAAGGTTATTCTTTGATCAGGAATATCAGAATTAAATGCACCAGTAAAATTTGACATGTGTAAACTCTGCTGACAAATCATAGATGGACAAGCTGGAAGCATGAGGGAATTTCACAATAATTACCTTCTAGTCTTAGCATTCCTATGGAGGTAAGACCACCCTGATAGTCTCCTCCCACAGAGAAGGAATGGAGCTACAGAGAAACCAATGTTATAAAATTATCAATTAATTTTAGAAGGTCAATTTGCTATATCTGTAGCCTTCCTTTCACCCTGAAAATGCCAGTTATCCAGTCCACCACATCAAACTACCTCAGTTCATGTATCTATTTTTTAAAGTTGTTTCACACTGCTGAAAATCACAAAACACACGTTGAGCTCTTAGAATGATGAATACCATGGAAAGGCCAAGTTAAGCGAATTGCATAGAATCGTGCAAACATTTCTACTGCTGAAGCATCCATAGAATACGTTTCTCCAGTGCAGTATTCAATTGCATATACCCTAAGACCATTCTTCTCTTCCTAAAATTCCCTGCCTCATTCACTGTCTGCAACAAATAAGACCAAGGTATCGGAGACAATAGCCTCCAGCAATGCAACCTTGATTCATTTCCAGAGCACGTCCATGTTACATGAACATAAACAGTTCTTAAAGAAAAAAACAACGTAAGATTGATTGTTCAATTAAAGACCTCCCTAAAGCTTTATATACAAAACAAACAGAACAAAGAATGCACAGATGACATAGCAAGGTTAATATTAGTTTAGTGCACTGCATAATTTTTCATGTGACCATATATATACAGTTTGTCATTATTTGACTGGGAAGTTGAACAATTATGTAGGCTACAATTCAATCACCCTTCTGCTGATTTCTTAGTGTTGTTTCACCCCCTTCTTCATTCCTATAGAGCTTAAGTGTTAGAAACAAAACATCCCCTCCCCACGTTTTATTATTAAGATATCGATTTCACAGTTTGTCTTGGTAATTGAGAAAGTGATAGCATGTAATTGTTATTGTATCCTTTATTAGATACTCCTTATAAAGTACTTTAAGTGCTGTAAAAATAGCCATGGGTTTTCAAGGCAAAAGGGATTGTTGCCACTATTCAGTTTGATTCAGCTCTCTAACTAAATAACTAAAGCATGATACAAAAATAGCTGAGAGCAATCTTTCCTGCAAAGAATAAGAATTTAAAATTTTGTAAAATTTTGTGTTTCTTTACATCTTGAAAATGTATTCTTCTGACAAATGAAAAAATTATTTGGGACATTGTGCCTGTAAAAAAAGGTTTACAAAACAACCGTATTTGAAATCACTAGAAAAATCTAACAACACTACTTTTAAATTCAAAATGGAGCCCAACATAACTGTTGTAACTGGACCCCCAGAAACTTCCGTGATTAAAATGGAACTACTTCATGTGGCTTCGTCACACAGACTTTTTAATTTTAATTTAGAAGTGCCAAAGCAATCAGTTCAACGTTTATATGAAAGATTATGCTTCACTGCTTCACGAGCACTGCCTAAAAGAACATACTGCAGTACACTGAGATATGTAAAGTCATAATTGTAGCTAACTCCTATACCAGAAACAAAGAGAATCAATTACTTCATGCCTGTGATCCAGTAAGGATCCCCATCCCCACCCTCCATCATGAGTCAAACTGCAAGTTATCGTGCATGAAAAAAACCCCACAAAATGAAATGTAATTTCCTATTAAATATTTAATTTGACCATTATCTAACTTCTATTTATAATATTGTTACTTATTCCACTGGATGAAGAACATACATTGGCACTGGTATTGAATGATAGCTTTTAATTAACTTTTTAATTTTAAAATTCTTAAAAAATTCACTTTAAAGAATATGTAAAGACAAATCCATATTTTATGGTCTTAAAAAGATATTTAAATTTATGTTAAACAAGCATAGGATAAACATATTTCCCAATGATATTTAATATAACATTTTGAAAAACTGACTCATGTTATTTATCAAGCAAATGTGACCAAGTCTTAACCACACATCAGAAATGACAGCACTCTGTGTCCTTCACTATAGTTTGGTATTAATTAAATCAATCCTTCAACATAAAGCACAGACTCCTACTAATATCTTTGGTTCAAGAGCCATATTATCCTATAAAAAATTTGGTTAATAAAACCCACTCTGCAATTACACAGAGCATGACTCTATGATGCAGTTAGCAGGTCATGACTGCATATTAAAATTTAAGAGTCCACTATAAAAAATCTGCAATATTCAAATGTTACTGCAAGGAGCATTATGTTCTGAAACAATTATCAAGCAGTCCATTAAATTTTTCAAACTATGTTAACCAAACCTTTCTATACTCATTTAAGATTCCATATAAAGGTTCTCTAAAAGGCTCTGTGAAGGGCCTATATTAGACAAGGACGCTAGTTAAAAAAAAGTAAATGTTCATCTCCATGGAAAAGTTAGAACCTTTCATATACTATAATCAGCAGTTTGCCACCTTGATAACTACACAAAAGCCTTCTTTTCTGTTATATCCTACCACTACCAACTACTGGGTATGACTTCAGTATTTGGACCCCAACTATCTACAGTTTTCATGCATCATTAATGACTTGTTAGGGTAATAACAGAACCAGAATAACTGGTCACAATTTAACTTTAGTTCATTGCATCATGGATCTGAACCACTAAGGGGATGTAGGGACAGAGAAGTAATCATTGGCGTTCACCAGTTGTACTACGCTGATAAATTATCCTTTGCTATCACCATTTCAATTCAAAACATTTAATCTTGCTCAATAAGGAGTCTTAGACTATATCTAGCAGTACAATAACTAATTGCATTCTTTTAATTCAAACTTTGTGTTGTGTTTGAAAGTAATCACTTCTATTACAAAGTGTCACAATAAGATTAAGGACTCATCGTGCAATCTATTAAATCCACATAATAAAGCATTGATTAAATTCACATAATTTAAGGACTTAACTGAAAAGCAGAATTCAGTAGCTTAGTTTTGCTTAGACTCACCATGTAGTTAAATAAAACATACATAGATCGTCCCTTCTCTGACATTCTGAAGTGCCTCCTGGAAGTAACCCCTTGACTCCAGTGACTCCCTGTATCAACTTCAGTGCAAGTCCAAGACATTGGATAAAATTCAAGTGATCTAAGATAACTTTGGTCAAAAAGTCAAAACAAAAATTCCAAGTTCTGACATCTCAGAAACCTATTAACAGTAGTCACACTGCATCCAAAAAGAAAGAGATGTCATTTGAAAAACAGTACATCAGTTTTACTTTAAAATAACTTCACAGCACAATAGATGTATGTCATTCATTATGGCAACCTCAGATATGGCTGCTGCCCACTTTATCACTCCTGGTTTAAGGCAAGTGATAACTATCTGGCAGTTCCTTCATAGTGCTGAAGAGTTGAAGCTGACAACCCTTCCTTATGAAGATACAGTCATTGTCCTTTTTATCTTTGTTACTATTCAGTTTGAAACAGAATCTTTGTGTTGGTGAGTTGACAAACAATTCAGAGGCCTCCTAAGAGCTTCTACATCTGCATTGCTGTATGAAAAGGACAAAAGAAATATGGACAGGATGTTGGATGAAAGGAGCCAGTAAAAAATAAAAGAGGAGAAAAAACCCCAAACCAGCCAAGGTGATTGGCTTACTTGTATGATCAGCAAGGCAGTAACAACCCCTGCAGTCTCTGCTGATAGAAACTAGGACACAAGCAGAGCAAGCCACATTTCCAAATCCCAGAGAATAGAAAAACAGCTACATCAAAAGACAACAGTTATGAGGAACAAAGGCTTGAGAAACTATTGGCAAGAAGGAAGAATCACTGACAAAAATAGAGAAATAGGAAAGATATTTGTTATGTTGAAGAGAAAAGCCTTCGAAATTCACCGTAAGATTGCAAAAGAAAGAAAAGCTGGAAAACCAACAGCAGGGATGTAAAA